CCCAAACGTTTAAGGTCGGACAAAAGCCAAACTCACCACAACAGCAAGAACAAGAAGAAAAAAATAACCACCACCACGAGAACAACAAAACAAAAACTTTGCAGTTAATAAAGCACAACCTGATGAGAAAGAGAGTAAGCCTCTAGCTGGTATATTTGGAAATAATTGTTAAAACGACAGTTTTACAGTTATGGTCATGCGATTGCATTGTGAAAGAAACGTGAAATCGATCAGAAAAGGTTGATCATCTAGCATAGATGTACTGCAAGGTTCTGGAATCATCAAAATGCTAAGAAATTTGGCCAAGTCTTCATAAAGTAAGAAGCACTGTACACAGAAAGATGTATATGGGACTACACACACGTGCGCGACACGTGCATTACATATCTCTCAACAGGCAAGAGATACACTAATTTACCAAATATATCAATTAGTAGGCGGTTTCCCGTCAAAAATTTTATCATCATGTAATATTCAAAACATATTCTTTCACGTGATTGGTAATAAGAGCTTCCATTTCATTTTTTGAAATTGGGGCGTTTCCAATACTGGTCTTTACCTTTAAAGTAAAGTTGATATTAAGCTAATGTTTGGTCAGTTTTTCTATTGAATTATAATGCTGGATCCTGGAGAGGAACCAAGACTGTTGGAAAGACAATCATATCATTCAAAACGTGGGTGTATAAGTATGATAGGAAAAGGATGAGAAAATCACGGAACCAAACCATGAAAAATAACAAAGAAGCACTTTGATCATATAACAAAAAATCGTGAAAGACATGCGAGCTAAAAAGGTACAAGGAACTTTACCGAGAGAGAAACCAGGGAGGTGAAAAAAGGAGGCGAAACTCTTGTAATTTATTCAAACTCAATCGTGAGTTCTAAAGCGTAACAATGGGATGTGTAACATTCCACTTGGCTTTAAAGTTCCATGCTCCGAACCGCGTTTCCACTGCGGGGACTTTTGGAAGCCAGGCACAAGTTTTATATTTACTACAAAATATTTAATTACCGGCAAAATTTCAGTGTAAATCAAACACTTTATATGAGGATTGTATTGGGAATAGTTCATCAAACAAATTTTCAAGTTTAGAACTCCGTCCTTCCTATAATTTGTGTGCCAGAGTTGGTAAAAGAAAAATTACATCCTGACAAAAACTCAATAGTTTAGGATAATGCGCTAATTTGTGCATGATTTAATGTCCCGTGAATTGATCCATGATTTACAATCTTCAATAACATTATGATTAAGTTTTTATTACACAAGTTTGTGTTCGCTTGTTCTACTCTTTACACATTCAACAATGGATGAGAAGTCATTGAAAGGGTCGGCGAACAGTTGCTGTGATACCATTTTCTGATGTAGGAATTCTAAATCCTGAAATTCATGCGCTCTATTATCTCACCACCTGGTCAACAGTTGCAGATTAGCGCATAACTTTTCGGCGGCTTGGAGCATGGGGTCAAAGGAGAGCGGCTTGATTCCAGTCCTTCTTTACCACGTCCCAGGAGAAACCAAGCACCAAGAGAACTGTTTCCTAACATGTTCAAATGAATGCATACTTTTTCGAACAAAGTTCGTTCCTGACAACTTAAACACTTGAATGAGGCTTTTCTGGCATAGCAACAATTAATACATGTTGACTGAAATACAAATATTGTAGTTCATTCATTAATAAGAGGTTTATGGGATAAGTCGTCCCTAGGTCCCAAGGAAAGAAACATCCATACATGTGAATAAGTAAGCTGGAGAGAGAACAAAAGAGACCTGGAACAAACTAAATACACCAAATGCACTGACATTTTGTCTATCATATTGAACAGAGTTAGCGACAGGCTTATTACCTAGTGTACTCAGTCACATTGCTCTTGAAATTTCACACCCTCTCTCAATATTGTTTAATGCATCTCTTCACAGTGGAACTGTCCCGTCCTCTTGGAAACGGGCCCATATTACCCCAGTGTTTAAGACTGGTGAAACATCCTCTATTGCCAATTACCGACCAGTTGCATTAACATCTGTGTTGTGCAGAGTACTTGAGAAAGTTATTGTGAAGGCAATTGATACTCATGTCGAACCATATGGTCTCCTTAACAGGTACCAGCATGGGTTCACCAGAAGGAGGAGCTGTGTAACTCAGCTTGTGAATGTGGTCCATAGGTGGGCGACTGTCTTAGATAAGCGGTCCCCACCACAAATCGACGCAGTGTTTCTTGACATGTCGAAAGCATTTGACAAAATGCCTCACAATACCCTTCTTGCCAAACTATCTTCTCAGTTCAATATTCAGGGTAACCTATGGACGTGGCTTTGCTCTTTCCTTTCTAACCGTTACCAATCTGTTCTCTTTCAGGGTTCCTCGTCTCCTTGGCTTCATGTTCCTTCTGGAATTCCACAAGGGAGTGTGCTGGGGCCCAAACTCTTTAACCTCTTCATTAATGATATTTATATTTTTCTTTTTTCTGAAGTTGTTCTCTTTGCAGATGATCTCTTGTTATTCCGTGTAATCTCTTCTGATGCTGACCAAAGCCTACTTCAAAAAGACTTGGACACGTTGATACAGTGGACTACCAGCAATGGTATGTCTTTTAACCCAAATAAGACCAAAGTCATGGATATAACCAGGAAGAAGAGGATTCAAACTCCCCAATATCTTTTAGGAAGCACATGCATATCTTCTGTACCTTCTTTTCAATACTTAGGCATTACAATTAGCTCAGACTTGTCTTGGAACTCCCACATTGATTTTATTGTTTCTAGGGCCAACCGTCTACTTGGTTTTATCCGAGTAGTTGCACGTGGTGCTTCTACTAGTGCCATATTCTCATTGTATAAAGCTCTCATCTTGCCAATCCTTGAATATGGTATTCCGGCCTGGCACCCGATGACCCAAACCCAAATTAAACAAATCGAGAAAATTCAGCGGACGGCGACTCGCTTAGCGCTGAAACAGAGGCGTGGTGAGATGCCGTACGATGAACGACTTCTGGTACTTAACTGGTCTTCACTCTCTTTTCGTAGGGACTTCTTGTTATGTTCATTTGCTTATAAGTGCCTTTCAGGCTTATGTGACTGTGAATCTCTTCAGGAGAACATACTTATTAATCCACGTCGCCTGGAGGTTCTTTCTTTTCGACATCTTTCTTCTAGAACCCAAGCCCTTTATTTTTCCCCCTCCAGAAGACTACCTAGACTATGGGACACATTGTCCAAAGACATCAAGGACATCGCAGTTCTCTCTCCTTCTACGTTCCTAAGTTCCCTGAAGAGTGCAATCTTGTTTCCTGATTAGGTTACTTGATCTTTTGTTTTCTCTTGTCTGTTGTACTTCATTAACTTAATTACACTATATGATTCTATTCTCTAGGTCATGTTACAGGAATTGTGTCTTATCAGAGCCTTCCCTCTTTACCCATTTCCTCTGTTCTCTAGAGCTTTCTTCTCTCTTTCTCCCTTTCCCACTCCTTCTGTTCTCTCACTTTGCTCCTTATCTTATAATTCTCTCCTGAATGCCATTGCCTGTCAGGCATATATCATAACATACAATCATGTTAAGTACATACATGTATATGTGGCTTTTAAACTATTTCCTGTTTGTAGGTTTTTATCTTGTAATTTATCTTAATTTATCCAGTATATCCATGTAGTGTTGATTCTTTTTTTACTGTAGGTTATATTATGATGAACTCTATTTATTTTCCAGTCTTTCCAGATTCATTTTCAATAATAATATATACATATGCTGTTGTTGCAATATCATATATACCATTCTGTTCATAATGTTTATTTTGGAAGCCTACCAGTACTTTGCTTATTAAAATTCACACTGTATTATTACATATTTTTTCAATTCCTTGCATGCCTGCTCTTGATCAGGATGATGCCTACATGTACCTTGCCAGTTATACTCAATTTCATAGAATAATATTCTTGAATGCTATGTTCATTTCATGCAACTTATGTAATAATGGTTTTTAGGATTATATTTAAGCTGAATGTTCAGAATTGAGGAGGTATAAATTGTTTGTAAATCATTGTAGCATTTTTAAATATTTTCTTTAAATCATTTTTTAAATTAACCTTTTTATATGCAATTTTTATTCCATCTCATTTTGTTATCTTCCTCCTTTTATCATGTGCAATATTTTATGTAAAGAATTGTAATTATGTACTGGGAGTAGCTTGTATGGGGGCACATGCCTCCGGGCAACAGTGATGAACTTCACTTTTGTGCACCCTGACCCACTTGCTGCTCCCTTATCTCTTTGCTTGTTAATCCTTATTATGTACTTGTCTCTTGCTATGCTGTATTGTATTTGTGCTTTTTATATATGAATGGTCGAATAAATAATAATAATAATAATAATAACATAATTATGCAGTCTTTGAAGCATCAGCGACATAGTTATGCAATCTTTGATGCATATGCGACCTATGTAGTATTTGAAGCTTCAGCGAACTATGTAGTCTTGGAAGCGTCAGCGATCTATGCAATTGTTGAAGCATCAGCGACATATATCTGTAAAGCGCTTTGAGAGGGGCTTCGGTCCTGAAAAGCGCTATATAAAAACTTGCTATTATTATTATTATTATAGTTGTGCATTCCTCGAATCGAAGGCGACGTAAGCTATTTTGTAAAGCGTCAGCGCAATCTTTGATGCATTGGCGACCTATGCAGTTTTTGAAACTTCAGCGACCTATGTAGTCTTAGAAGCGTAAGTGATCTACGCAGTTCTTGAAGCGTCCGCGACATAGTTATGCAATCTTTGATGCATAGGCGACCTATGCAGTTTTTAAAGCGTTAGCGACATAGTTGTGCAATCCTTGAAGCGAAGGCGACCTCTGCCATTTTTTTAAAGCGTCAGCGACATAGTTATGCAATCTTTGATGCGTATGCGACCTGTGCAGCTTTTGAAGCTTCAGCGACATTCACTCAACGTATTTCCAAGAGATATACTATTCTTATTCTGTAAGAAATACGAGTCATGACGGTACTTACATGCAGGAATGTTTATCATTTCAGGTTCTTGAAATGACAAATCTGCCAGCATTGCTCCCCCAACTGTAAATGTTTGAGCATAAAGTCGAACAAGAAACGTCTCTGATTGGTCGCTTTGAGTCACATGGTACACTCCATTTACCAACATTCGATAAAAGTAGCAATAACTTTTGACCGGCGTGTGACCTGAACCTAACATCGCCTGCAAATCTGCGGTAAGATTGAAGCAGTATCCAGTGAGATTACTGACTGTAGTTTCGTTCAATTTCAGACTATCTTTCCCGCTCTCCGTGGTGATGAAATCTACATATTGCAAAATATCATTACCATTTTCAACGCGCAATGTGGTATTCCCATGAAAATCTTGCGTTGGTGGAATCAATATCATACTAGGATCACCGTATTGATCCCTTGAAGAACTTTCCATGTACTGCATAACCTGAACCGGCATATCTGAGATTATCATGCAAACGTAATTGTTCATGTTTTCAGCGACTTCGATGTCAATATATTTTTGCCTGCTAAGCATCTTATGTTGTATAGCATCGTTTCCGCATTGTGACAGGGTTATGTTGGTGTTTTGGTAAAACGCCGAAACGCGGATTATCCATCCGTTTGTCGCATTATGGAAGGGTGGGACAAAATGGACACGCCCCCACCTAGAGACAGGAATCAGTTGTTCTATAATGACGCCGTGGTCTTGATCTGACGTCATCGGTATGTTTACTCTTTTCGATCCAACAACAACCGAGATTGGTTTATCAGCGAGTACTAGGGTTCCAGCTAGGTTTTTGGGTGATATTGTTTTCAACAGTACTGAGTCACTCTTATTTAGAATAATATATCCAGAAAGCTCATCTCGATCTTTGATGGTACAGGAGCTAATTATAACACAATCGATGGTTACGTTCGTATTGTCGCTAATGGCCGTTATTGCGGCTTGGGGGGAATGACCTATTTCTGGTGTGTAGACATCTATCAGGTATTCCGTGCCGAGAAAGTCGTTCGGTAGAGCGAGAAAACCTCCGGTGATGATGGCCGATCGCCAAGCGACTATCCCATGAACGATGATGTTCGCAGAGGAAAAAACCGTAATAGTGTTGCATATTGGCTTTTCTACGTCTACACTAAAATTTTCATCGCCAGGTCTTGAGAACCATCTTTTTATTTTCAGGCATGGCACCCAGATAAAAGACCTCTCCTCGGAATTTAGGGTTATCCTTAGGCTGGTCGTGAAGTCATCCGAAAAGTCTACAAACCCAAAAGTATAATTTCTGATCCACGTCATGTTCTGTGGAAAAGCTGCAGGAATGAGAACAAAATCATAACGGGGGTAAAGCAGGGAAAAACCTACGGAATGCTCCCCAGGGAGTGGAGCGTGTGCACTATCATATGTGTAAAGCAAATGAATCCAATGCCCGGGCTGATAAAAGTACAATGTAAAGCGCGTTGAAGACTAGTATTAAGCGCTATACATAATGTGACTACTACAACTATTACTATTATTAGTATTAGTAAAGAACGAAGGAGGTAGCATCGTAGTTAAATAAAGACAACGCTTAACTCTCGCGTTCTAAAAGTTGTTAAAAATGTAAAATCACCATTCAACAATAACATACACTTTCAATAAGTTAAGAAGTGCAAATCTACCATTTTGTAAATGAAGTCACCCTAACTGTTAGTCTTTGAAGTGCGTGTTTGAGATGTTGACAGTGCTATTACCGATTCATACATTTTGTCTTTCGCCCTTTAATTATCACTTTTTCCTTACCAGTGTCTCGCCTTCGTGATTTGTTTATTTCGTTATTTCAACCACCATATGAGGTATATGCTTAAAACATGAAGGAATAAAAATTAACGACTGAATATATTTCTTTCTTCTTTACGTATTCCCCTTTCTTTTTAAATCCAAGCCTCGCCTCTTCCGAGCTGTATGAAAACTAGATGTGATATTGGCCCAACATCCCCTTTCGTACACGCAAACAACGATAATGACATGGTATCTACTTCACGAATGCCTTTTGCCGTACGGTAGAATTATCATTTTAGCTCACTTTTGGATAATGAGGGCAATTTCAATCATGTCCCTAATTATTTTACTTAGAATTACTATGTTGGGATTATGTGATGCCCTGGTTTGATGGTTTGTATTACCTGAAAGAAACGGGGGATGAAAGAGAAGAGAGAGAGAGAGAGAGAGAGAGAGGGAGGGGGGGGGGGGTAAGAGCCTGACTCCACCAACATCCCACTCTCTCTCTCTTCTTCACACCCGTCTTCTCTCAGTAAAAGAAATTAAACATTCTCATAATGTCATCCCCTTTCTTTCTTTTTCCTTCTCATTATTCTCCTTTTTCCCCTTTTCTCGACTCCGTCTTCCCCCTTTATTCATTTTCCGCCTTTTCTGTCCTCTCTCTGCCCTTTCTTCCCTTCCCCCTCTTTTTTCCTCTTCCCTTTTCTCTCCTCCCTCTTTTCTTCTTCTTTCTCTTTTCCTTTTCTTTCTTTTCCCCCTCCTTTTCTCCCTTTTCCCTTTTCCCCTTCCCCCTTTCTCCCTTTCTTTTTACTGGGGGGAGGGGGGGGCACATGTCCCCTGTTCCCCCTGAATCCGCCACTGGTGTAGTTGTATAGATGTACAGTTTCCTGCGTTCTGATTGGCCGGCTTGATAGACGTACAGTCGTATAGTTATACGGATAGTAGCATGCTTGGCCCGCCATAAACGTCGCCATATTTACCTCGACTAGCTCTTAACACGACATTTACCCTAGGGTAACTTTCGTCCGTCTGAACAAGACTTATGTAATATCACAAGCATAAATAGGATAAAGAATCATTCAAGGAATAGGCCATTTTTGTAATGTAACCAAATGTAATGCATAAGTCTTTGTGAAGTACCTCAATGCAAATTATTTCATTCACCTGAGAAGAATAAGAGTATTCCAATAGACAGTATCCCATACGTTCGTCGTTGGTAAAACAAAAATTGTGGCTTGACCTACCTAGCAACACTTAATATATGCAATTTGCATTCTGACTATTGGAATGCTATTATTCCTATCATATGAATGAAATAATTTGTATTGAGGCACTTCAAAAAGACTTATGTACTACATTTGGTTACATTACGAAAATGTCATATTATACGTTGCCCCCGATTACGTGAATAATTCATGTATTCATACGGAAGGCCTTGCAGCGAGAGCTGAACCTCGAATAGAAGGGGGGGGGGTAACAAATAAAGAACCCTCAGACGTTTGAGGTCGGAAAAACAGCCTTACCACAACAGCAAGAATAAGAACAAGAAAAACAATAACCACCACCACGAGTACAATATAAACAACAAAACAAACGCAAATTATCTTTACAGTTAATGAAGCATACGCTGATGAGATAGAGAGTAAACGCTCTGAAATATTTTGAAATAATAGTGAAAATGAATGTGAATTTAAATTAAAGGTAATACAAAGTTTTGGGAATTTTGAAAAAAGGGTGGATAGTGATTCTTTACAATTTTAATATATTTGGATGCCCCTGCGGATGTATTATAAGCACTAACAAATTTAGCCCCTAAATCACTTCTGCTTTCGAGAAAAATTGAATATAAAAATTTACCGGTGCTCCCGGTAAATTTTGATAAATTTCGAATAGCGACTACGGCCGTACAATGGTAGCTGCGACCATAAAAATCTCAGAATATGTAATTGTGATATATAATTTCCAAACGTGAATAGCTAATTGGTCGATTTTAGTCAAGAAACATTGTTTTAAAGCTTAATTAATATATTGACCTTGAGAGGGAGCTATACAGCATAAAGAGTTTATTAACTAAAATTTCACAACTTTAGACTCGATTTTAACTGCGATAATGATCACTGAATATTGTAGGATCGCATATGTTTCCAATATGTTCATTTGAACCAAATTCATGACCCCATACCAAAACTTTGTATTACCTTTAAAGTTGCTAAGCTAATGTTTGCTGTATGGTGCTAAAACGTGGAGAAGAGCCAAGGCTGTAGGAAAGACAACCACGTCATTCGAAACGTGGGTGTATGAGCATGATAGAAAAAGAATGAAAAGCCATGGTCCTAATAGGACGAGTCAAAGAAAGCAAGACAAACTACTTTTATCATACAAAACAAATCGTGAAAGACATGCGAGCTGGAAAGGTAGAAGGAACTATAATACCGAGATAGAAACCAAGAACCAAGAGAACGGTTTACTAACATATTTAAATGTAATGCATACTTTTACGAAAAAAAGGTTATCCTTGACAACTAAAAAGCTTGCTTGAGGCTTGCATAGCATAGCGACAGGTAACATGTTAATGGAATAAGTCGTCACTTGGTCCCCAGGAAAGGAACATCCCTAACTTTAAATATGTAAGTAAACTGGTTTCCTGGGAAGAAAACATTGATACCTGAAATAGAAAAAACAGCATACACTAATGCACTAAAATTATGTCTGACATTGAACATTGTCACCGACGTGCTAATGCACTCTGTGAAGCGTCAGCTACATAATTATTCAGCTTTTGAAGCGTCAGCGACAGTTATGAAATCTTTGATGCATAGGCGACGTATGCAAGTTTTGAAGCGTCAGCGACATATGCAGTTTTTGAAGCGTCAGCGACAGTTTGCAATCTTTGATGCATATGCGACCTATGCAATTTTTGAAGCGTCAGCGACCTATGTAGTCTTTGAAGCGTCAGCAACATAGTTGTACAATCCTTGAAGCGTCGGCGACCTATGAAAGTTTTGAAGCGTCAGTGAAATAGTTGTGTAATCCTTGTAGCGTCAGCGGAATCTGCAGCCTTAAAGCGCCATGTCAGAACGACTTGGAATAAAAAGAGTGCAAATAAGCTATGCTTCGGACAGAGGCTCTGACCTCACATAAATTATTTGTCTTCGGAGGCTATAATAAAGCGCAGTTAAACGCCATCGAATTGACGTCTCGTTTGCACCTAGTAAAGGCTCTATAAGGGCATATATTAGGGACTTTTAGATCTGCATGGACTGATACGTGTGACGTCCATTCAAGGCAGTGCATTAAAAGGACGTCGATCGTAGCAATCCTCATTGTTTTCGTGCGAATCTAAAAGTCCCTGTTGACGCAATCGCTTGACGCCTCATGTGCAAGAGTTTGAGGCTGTATTATCTCAAGTAATGACGCAATTTAAATGACGATTTGGGTGCAACTGCCAGGGGCTGTATTAGCGCATGTAGTAACGCAAGCGTATTAACGCATCGTCTGTAACTAGCAACGTAGATAATTACAAAGAGGGGGGGGGGAGTATTGGAATCGGAGGTAATGATGAAAATGATGATAATAACGAAAGTGAACTGACACATCGTGTGCAACTGCTTTTAGTTTTACAGAAAATTGAGAAACGTGGAAAAGAGGAATAAACCTCCAGACCAGGGGGGCATTTCACAAACTTGCCATCAGTGACAAATGACAGTTTTTGTTATAAGCTACTGAAATCCTTGCTTCTGATTGGTCATCAGCAGATTTGTCACTGATTTGTGTCATTTGCCATCGAAAAAGGCTTTGTGAAACGACCCCAGGAGAATATATTTGTTGGTATGACCCATTACCTTTACAGGAATATGTGACGTTCGTATAATTGTAGATAGCAGGACACGGATCTCCGAGTGAATTTGGTAACTCAACCATACACGTCGTTTCATCGTCGCAACGTTCACGTACAAGATCCGTCACATTTGCGCCACCGCATTCCCAGGCGGAATCAGCCATCGCAGCGTCTGAGCATGCTGCTGTGTCAGTCCTGCAGTAGACAACAGTACCTAAGTTGATGAAATCTCTACCGCAGTTAAGCGTAATATTTTTAGTTCCTGAATCAGAAAAAAATGATAAAAAGAGTTTTTAATTATGTGGATTTCTTCTACATGACTTTGGCCAACTGCTAGATTGTTCGTCTAGTTACTAACTCAATATAATACCTTTGGATTACATTTCGTACTGATTCATTTCAATAGCATGAGAAGATAAAACATATACGCAAGATATTTATTTTGGCAGAGCAAATAGGTTTATATGTCAAATTCAACACAGCTTTCATAATTGTTCATAATCAGGATAAAAATTGAGTTCGTATTGCCTTACAGGAACTGTTGTCCTATTTCGAATAATTATTAGTGCGTTTTTTCAAGAGTAATACTTTATAGGAGACATTTCTTCTATGATATTCTTACAAACTGACATTAAAGAATGAAAAGGCTCACAATTTGTTTTTGGTCATCTTTACCAGTACTCAACCTATTTTGTTGTTGTAAGATGAACTCGTTCCACATTTGGCAAACGAGCAATTAGAGAGGGTTAGTTGCATTGTCATAGTCATATATTGTTTATCAAGAAATGGATAAAGTTATGCAGTCGAACCTGTTTATAAAGACCACTCAAGAAAGATAATGTTTCAATGATACACTCTGTTCAACGGAAACATAAGATGTGATCTTTATAGACAGGTGGTCTTTCTATACAAGTACTCAAAAGAAATTCAATGAATTTGAGTGTTGTTGCAAGCAGGTAAATAAAGAGTTCATGTGATGGAATAAGCAGGTAAACAAACAAGTAATATAGAAATAAAAGAAATACAAATCTTTTGAGCGCAAAGCTTTTTGTTGATGTTTTTTTTTTTATAACAAGCCAATTTCAAATCATATATAATACATAAAACAAAAGAGAAAATGAAAATGTCATATTGAAGACTAATTACATGCACATTTATAGTACTATCTCGAGTAATGCAATACAAAATACGATAGGGCGTCGTGAAATAATCTGTAAATCTTGTGCGCTACCAATTTTATTCTCTTTCACCTTTTGAAACGCTTTCGTGACATACAGCGTTCAATAGACCAGTTTACTAACATACTCAAATGATATGCATACTTGTTAAACAAAGGTTTTTTTTTGACGACCTGAAAGCTTTGTCGAGGTTTGCCCGACATAGCAACAAGTAATATATCCAGACTGTATTCCGAGTATAATAGTTCATTCATGTAAAAAAACTCGTTACTAGGTCCCCAAGAAATTTGAACATTTTAGTAAACCGCGGTCAATAGAGTACCGAAATATGACGTCATACTGATCAGGTTTTCAAGGTTGCTGGTTCCAAACAATTTTGAGCTAAACAATGGTGTCGTGATCACACTAACCACAAACAATTGGAACTTTTAGATTTGCACGCCGACATAGTGGACTGCTACGTGTGACAACATTTTATTAAGGCAGTGTGACGTCCTTTTAATGCACCGGCAGTGCCCGGCAGCGTTATTTTTTCGGCGGCATAGATTGGGGTTAGGTGCGTGTTGAGCCTATGGGAAGTTTAGGGTTAGGGTTAGGGTTAGGATTAAATCAAGACCTCTTTTAAAAAGAAAGCCCCAATCTGTGCCGCAGAAAAAAATGACGCTGCCCGGCAGTGCCATAAAAGGATGTCACACATAGCAGTCTACTACGTCGGCGTGCAAATCTAAAAGTTCCCATTGAGTTCGCCCTGCTGCAGCCCGTCGCTTGAATGATTTCGCGGTGAACCTCATGTGCAGGCTTTGTTGTTTAGAACCAGTAACCTGGACGGCGAGCGAATATAACGTCCGTACTTCAGTACTCTATTCTGAGCAGGTTTAACGTTAGTAACAAGAGCAGCAAAGGTGTCAAAGTGCGGCCAATATTTGATTTATCTCGAGTTTGAATTTGATTTCAGGGTGTAAAAAGAAGGAGCAGTACACTAAAACACTCACGCAACAAGTCACACACACACACACACACACGTACAAACGTACACACATGAAAACAATAGATGGTCATGCATTTACGGTTGCAGTCTGAGCATGAGCAGATAAAGGTCATTTTTACCAAAAAGGTAAAGCCCACAGAGATGAATACTGGATATGCGCTCATGAAAGTTATGTAACATTATTCATTTATGCACCAACAGTACATTCTAAGATAAACAGGTGAAAATATTCTTTTCAAGAGGGCAAACAAAAGGTATTCATGAAGCACATCTAGGACTTTGGCAGTTATTATTCTAAGATGCTCAAAGTGGAACTTCTCCATGTGTAAAAGATCTGTGGATATTTGGGGTCATTTGTACCATGTGCTATCTGTAAACTCCCTTATAAAAGAAGATCAAGTTAGTGTGTATTGTCGAAAGTAAATTTTCTCGATGGGGATTTTTTTTCTTCATTACCACTTATTTCTCTATCTATCGCGTTGGCCCATAATACATTTTAGGATTTTAACAAAAATAAATATCGTGCTTTTTTCTGTCATATTTGATGCAATGTGTTATAATAATGTGAAGCGTTGGAAATGAACATTGATTGCGACGGCTTATGCCATAAGGGTGGGTAGCGTCGCGTCGCGGCGCGTTGACTTGAACGCGACCATTCGTCCAAAGCCCCCCCCCCCCGGTTTGACCGAAAGGGTGCATTGGGAGTGTCGCGTCGCGTCGCGTTAACTTGAACGCTACCATTCGTCCAAAGCCCCCCCCCCCCCCCGGTATGGCCGAAAGGGTGTGTTAAAAATATTTAAAAAGTATTTAAAAAATAATAACCTTGTAAATCAAGGGTATCGAATAAGAAATAAACCACGTTTGAATTATATTTGGCATCCCCCCCCCCCCCATCAAAAAAAGAGGAAGAAGAAAAGAAAAGAGTAAAAAGAAGGGGAGAACAGTTGCGATTAATCCCGCCAACAACTTGTGGATCGGGGGGGGGGGGGGGGGGCGAAAGGCCTATTCCCCAGCAAACCTAAAACAGAGAGAAGGAAAATAGGAGAGAAAAGTAAAGAAAAAGGAAAGGTAGGGGAGATCAGCTACGATAAGAAAAAAGGGGGGAAAGGAGATCGAGGGGGAGGGGCCGAAAGGGCCTTGCCTCCCAGCTGTTACCCCCCCCCCCCCCCCCATCAAAAAATAAGAGAGAAGGAAGGAAAGGGAAAGAAAAAGAGGAGAGAAAGGGAAGGGAAAATAGAAAGAAGAAAAGAAGGGGCGCCCCCCCCCCCCTCCCCACAAAAAATGGGGGAAGGGAAAGGTAAAGAGGAGAGCTAAAAGGGAACAAAAAAGAGGACAAGGAAAAGAAAAGGGTAAAAAGAAGGGAACAGTTGCGATTAATCCCGCCAACAAACCTAAAACATTGGCGTAGTGATGGGGGAGGGGGGGGGGGTGACAGATGCCAAATATAATTCAAACGTGGTTAATTTCTTATTCGATACCCTTGATTTACAAGATTATTATTTTTTAAATACTTTTAAAATATTTTTAACACACCCTTTCGGCCATACCGGGGGGGGGGGGGGCTTTGAACGAATGGTAGCGTTCAAGTTAACGCGACGCGACGCGACACTCCCAACGCACCCTTTCGGTCAAACCGGGGGGGCTTTGGACGAATGGTCGCGTTCAAGTCAACGCGCCGCGACGCGACGCTACCCACCCTTATGGTATAAGCCGATTGCGACGTCTTTTTCCCTTCTTTTGAGACGTGAGTGAAATTGAAAAGTTAGAAAATTTCTCACGACATGCCTCTTTTCGTTGGGAATGGTGTGTGAGGATCAGGGGTGGTGGTATATCTGCACTTTCCAATTGTTGGAGACGGCGAAATACCTGAACCTGCTTTCGTTTTACACAGGAAAGAAGAATTGTTCACAATTTGTATTACTTCTACACCCACGTAACAAGTTTAATTCAAACTAAAATCAGCAACCTGGAACGCGATCTGAGACAATAATATTATCACAGTATTTCTAATGTAACGCAATATTAAAAAAACACTACGCACTGTACATGATTTATGTAGGGTTAAATGACGCAAATCATTAATATCGCGAGAATAATCAAATATACAAATGAGAATACAATTTGCATTGTTTTAACATAATTAAATGTAATGTTTAACACATTATAGTAATCATAACATAATATAATAATGTTGATATTTTCTTCCTTTTGAGTACAGAGTATTATCGTACTATACTGGGGGTGTGTGCAGGTGGACCACTGCACCTGGGTTTCCCCCTACTCTTATACGAATAGTGCAGTGGGTTCTTAACGTGCAAAGGTAGTGACTCTTCTCTACACGGGGCCTCCATGTAATGTCCTATCCGAGGGACGGAGTGTTTTCCACCTGACATAACCTGCGTCTATGAACAAGGGAAGGGGCACGTTAACACACAACGCAGGCTTCAGTCATCCGCCTGGGTGGGAGTCGATTCCGGGATCTTTGGTTCTGCTACGGTCACAAAGGTTCGTACGAACGATAATTTCGTACGAATCTCTCTATTTTTCCATTGTCTTCCCGAATTTCCATCGTCTGAAAATCGTTCGTACGGCGTTCGTAGGAGTTCGTAAAGGCATTTGTGACCGAGGCTTTCGACAGACGGACGCTTTACCGACTGAGCCAGCTCGTCTTCTAATGCTACGGTCACAAAGGTTCGTACGAACGATAATTTCGTACGAATCTCCATGTTTTTCCATTGTCTTCCCGAATTTCCATTGTCTGAAAATCGTTCGTACGGCGTTCGTAGCAGTTCGTAATGGCATTTGTGACCGAGGCTTTATACATGTGTAAATACTTATACTTATTTCGCTTTTTATATGTACATCATTAAATCATTTAAATTGAAAGGTTCATAAAATGCTTATTTCTTTCTTTCATGATATGAAAATATTCAGGTAAACAAAATGTCATATTGTATACAAATAAATACACATTCAAGTGCCATGTGCGGTTTTTGTTCGTGGGAACAGTGACTGATGAATGTGTATGTCCTCGTGAAGTGAGTGGTAAAGTAAAAGTGATATTACACTCAGCAAATAAAGAAAGTGGACACTTTGCATTGTTTACATTTTTAGGCAAACCGTCACTACATTTTTTTTTTGAAATTTATATTAAATTAACACTCTACCAACAACAATTAAGATTAAGTTTTGATCTTGGATGGGCACATTCATTGAACCGTTAGAAGGTTTGATTAAAGAAATTGCAAAAATAAAGCAAGCAGTCATACAAATGTTGATGAACATGTGCATCTGTAATACATTAATGATCAACAATGAAAACAAAGAATGAGAAATGACAATGAAGAGGATTGAGCTTTGGATGTCTACTGTAGTCTCAGGACTGCATGGTTTTGACAAGCAAGATCAAGATGCCTCTCCTCTCCACCCAGAATCGCGGACGAGCCGGAGGATACCTCCAATGCTCGTCATCATTGCAATGACCAAGTGCCCAATTTGTGTAATTTTCTTTCAGGGGCTCATTCATGGTTAAATAGTTATACTGAATCATGTATGAATGGTATGGTGCCAATTACATATCAGGATTAAGGTTGATTTTCATATTATGAAAAATTGTTTAGGCTAAATATTTATTTAAAAATCGTGTCCACTTTTTTTTTTCTTTTTCTGCTGTTTACATATCAGGACATGCCTTGTCTTGTTTGCTCATGTAGGGAGGGGTGTTCACTCCACATTGGCAAAGCCGGACTCACAGGACCTGAAATTGAATAAATTGAATGTACTCTTGTTTTGAAATCTAATTTCGTTGAAGTAAAACGTTCGTTGTGATATTCATATTGTTTGAAATATGCTATTGTTTTGATAACCATATATTCTTTTGGTTTGAAATGAACCTTTTCTTTGGTATTCGATTTGTGAGGTATCCTACGTATTTATGTTATGATTTGTAGATAAATTAGTATGTTTAATAAAATAAAAAAATAACGTTTTGGGATCTATTTGTCTGCTCGTCTGTTGCTTGTTTTTTCATAATATACAAATGCAATTGGATCCAGCTTTAAAGATGGCAGTTTTCAATTCTCAGTTAAACCATGGATAAGGTTCCTTACATAGCAAATGTTGCGGGGTTGCGGGAGAGAAGAATCGTATACACGTTTGAAAATGTATACACTGACTCCACCGAGAGAGAATGTGATCATAATTTACCGCACCCCCTAAACATAGCTTCGCTTTAGGAGCCATATTACTTGTGTAGCTCATCACCCGTCTTAGAAATTAGGACCAATTTACCCCTATCGATCGCAAATTTACAATAGGCCTATGCTAAAAAACAGACGTGCGATCAATTTTAAGTTGATATTAATTCGAATCAGTCGCAACGATTTATGAACCCGACATAATAATAATGATGATGATGATGATGATGATGATAATAATAATAATTTTTTTTTTTTTTAAATAAAAAAAAAATAATAACAATAATTTCTTATAGTAGATTATTATATAGCGCATTTTATACCTCACTTAAGAAATCCAGCCATCTGATTGGTCGAATTGCATTCATAAACTTCAACTGTTCCTGTAAAATTCCCGGTAACCATGCATAAAACATTTCAATATTTTTAATAACCATGGTTATTAAAAAAATAGGTCAGTCTCCATGGTTACCCCATAGGTTTACATGTTAAAAAATGGTTTGAGCGATGGAGGATACCATACGTGTGCGAAAAATTGGTCGGCAATTTCAATACAATTGAATCTCGATCGATCTTACCGACAATTTTATCTTGCATTGTTGACATGAAGACGAAAATTAACTCTCAAAAACAAAAACCAACATCTGCCGATAGATCTTGATCTAAGTTCGTGCCAATATGCATTGCAAAAGTAAAAGAAGGGTCCGTTTCATGGAGCTTTTGCGAAGCATCCCTCACGCGGAGCCGTTTTCAATTCATTTTAATGTATATATCGGAGAAAACTGCCTAGCATGTTAACGGCGCCGCGATAGCCGAGTGGTCTAAGCGTTGGTTTCGATACTGCTCTTGTTGTACGTAAGAGTTCGAATCCCGTCTTCGACAAAAATGTAAAATATTTTTTATTTTTTATTTTTTAGTCTATTTTTTTTCGGCATATAAAAGTATTAATGACTGCTTTAATATTCGAGAAATAGTTGTTTTCATACGCTCTCGGGAAGGTTACAATTGGGCTATTCCCCTCGGCACGCCTCGGGTAATAGCACAATTCTAACCTTCCCTTGAGCGTAATAAAACAACTATTTCTCTCAAAGCAGTCATTAATACTATACTATTTTCAAAGTCTCTTTGCGCTTTACATGGAAACGCGTGTATTTATATTAACACGCGTTTCAATAAGATGGTAACACATTTGTAATTATGACGGTTTCACGACATGATGCCCAAGTCTCAAATACATTGACGATTTCATATCATTTGGGTAATTCAGCTGATAGATACTATAATATTTAAACTTTTCAACTTACTTTCACCTTCTTCACTATTAGAGCCGGAACTGGTTTCACAATTGTCTTCGTCGCACGCCCCCAGTCCAATTAAGATCTGAAAATAAGAATAAACAGAGTTCTATTGTAGTTTTATGAACGAAAGGCGAGTATAATTATTTTAAAATGAAGTATTTCATCGAATATTTATAGATTGAGATCATAGGTAGAAATAATGAATATTATCAAAACTCTTGCCTTTGCCAACAGTTCAGCCTGAGATAATAAGATCTCGGAACATGTATTTTGGGGTTTGTTTGCTTGTTCTTGTAATTTCGTCTTAACCAAACTTTAGATCTGGCTTAATTCACAATTGTGATAGCCTTGTGGCCCTGTTTTTGAAATCCGTATGTCACATTTTTTTAAAACATTTACTAATCTTTAAAATATTTTGTGGCTGAATGGCAGCCTAAATGTACTGCACTCTAATGGATAAACCTGTATTGTACTAAGTCAGGTGTATACACTGACATTTCTCGCCTATTTCACTCCCTTTTCCCCATATTTTCTTTCTTCTTGTCTGTCTTAATACCAACAGTAAATTTCCATGACAACATCAATGTGCATATCACTCGTTTCTGTACATCTGAAAATCTTTGGCACGTTTTTACGTGGTTCCACTTTCATAAGTTTAACGCCCGGTTTTGATTACAAACTCTCCTTTAATAACCGCTGATACCTTTCGTAAATATTTACACCGACGTGACCCACACGTCATGAATCACCGCCTATTGTTACGTCACACGGAGAAGACACCACGTGATCCGGAGCCCGGTATGGATTCTCACTAATGGATTGATTTCGGATGTCCGTAGACAAATGATAAATGAGTGATTTGAAATCCGCGGTGGTTCTTATATCCGTTATGGCATACAGAAAGTATAGTAAAATGGTCTGTTTATATATTTCTTCTGACTTTATCACTTAAATAATTGCTACTCGCATGCCACTACTTCCCTCTAATTTCTAAATTGAAACAAAAGAAAAAGTGCACGAGACAAGGCTAAGGATCATCGTCCAAAGCAATATGCCTCCATCTGTGATGGCCTTTACATATAAATAAATAATCAGAAAACAATGTTTATATCTTTCTTGCGACTTCCAACGTAAACAGTTGACTCTCGCCCCGACTCTCGCATGACTGACTCTAGATCCCTCCAATTTAGAAAATAAAAATGGAAAAAAATTGGAAGAAAATATGAAAATAATAAGGATCCTGTTCCTTATTTGCATCGCATTGTGTCGGTGCTGTAGATAAAAAGATATTAACGCACGTATAGGGAACTAGTGTGTTTTTTTTGGTCAAATCCCTTATATGGAAATCATAAAGATTATTGTGTTAGTTTACGCCCTCAACCCTCCCCCGCATTTTCACGGACCATAGTAAAATTGTGTTGGGGTTGTGCAATTTACCCGTTTACTACTAAATTCTTTAATTCCCATAGAGCCAATAGAGTGATCACCTGGCTCCTAAAGGTAACGGGTTAAAATCTTCAAAGATAACTGATTACGTTTGCAGGTTTCTGTGTAATTAGTGTTCGTTCGTATAGTAGCAATCTTACAAATTATAATTTTCATTTACTATTAATGCAAGGCACAGGAATCATATCCCTACAACAATAGTGGAAGATTTCGTTGATAATTATAGCAAGATGCTTTCACCCCCTCCGTATCTCTCTCTCTTTCTCTCTCTCTCTTCTCTCTATCTAGCTTATCTCTTGTTCATGCCCCTCTACCCCCTTCTCTCACTCTTTTATATCCTTCTCTCTCTCTCTCCCTCTTTCTATTTCTCTCTCCCCTCTCGCTCTGTCTTTCTCTTTTTATCCTTCTCTCTCTCTCTTTCTATTTCTTTCTCCCTCTCTCTCTCTCTCTCTCTCTTTCTCCCTTTATATCTTTTTCTCTCCCTCCCTTCTTTATCTATCTCATATCTCGTTTGTTCCGTCTATATATATCCCCTTCTCTCTCTCTCTCTCTCTGCCTTTCTATTTCTCTCTCCCTCTTTCTTTCTCCCTCCCCCTTCTTTATCTCATATCTTGTTTGTTCCGCCTCTACCTTTTCTCTCGCCCCCCCCCCCCTCCGGCTCTCTCTCTCCCTCCCCTCTCCCCCTCTCTCTCTTCAACTTTATATCTCGTTCAGTCCCCCTGTACTAAGAAACACAATTTCAGTCAAACTATTAGCAATATCCCTGCGGCACCAATGACGTAGTGTCTATCTATAGGGACGAAACAACGTATATAACAGAAAATGGGTGTAACAACTGCGGCAGGCCAAAACAAATATCAGGAAAACCATGACAATACTAAGAGGCTGTAACTTGTTATGTACACAGTATTATATCAGGATCATAAATCTCTCGCTTTCATATCGGTTTAGTTCAGGAAACGTAGGCATAATGTTTTTACACCATCTTTCCAGAAAATAAGAATCTTAAGAAGTGTTGATGAATCCGAAAGAGGAAATGGTTCTCTGAGTTTCGATGACTTCACTTCGAGCGTCATTACAACAGTCAACAGTGAAACTGTATGCACACAATTCAAAGTATCGACAATATAAATTACCTCTTGGTGTAACGCCTTATATCATTTGCGAGAGATAAGTAAGGTTCATCCTAAGGATCCCCGCTTATTAAGGAACCTTAAAGAGAAGGTTGAGTTCTGGGAAGAGGTGAACAATAATTTTTAAACGTTATCGTTGTTTTATGGGAGTGTGGAATAACATCAAACAAACAATGTTTCCTGAAAAGCATGGCTCTTCAAATGCATTCATATTCTAAATATGGCAATATAACAGTCGGGACGGATTGTAATACCACATGTTCGTGTAGCCCTATATACATATTTCGGTGTACAGTGCTTGAAACTTTACAGAGACTGGGCCAAATTTCTTATCATTTTGATGATTCCAGAACCTAATTGCAGTAGCGTGATACCAATACTTTATACTTATATGCTAGATGATCAACCTTTTCTGATCGCATCCACACAGTTTCTTTCACAATGCAATCGCATGACCAGAACCCAACTTTATCTTTAAAGGGACTTGGTAGCATTGTTCAGATGACAGTAAATGGTGCTATGGTAGTGACTTCAATGCTAGATGTACAATCAAAGATAATCTGAGAGTTTGAGTGAAAACAGACCATTATTAATGATACAAATTGGGAAAAACTGATTTGATCGTTTCTTTAATTCTCCCAACTATATTATTACAATTTATTTACATTTTAGGTGAATGTAAATCGTCACAAAGCAATGAATAGGCTCTATATACCATTCCAGACTTATCAATTGGGAAAAACTGATGTGATCGACGCCTTAATTCTCCCAACTATTTTATTATAACTTAATTAAAGGTATAGAACAGTTTTGGAAACGCCCTCCCCCCTGTCAAAAAATCTAATGGAACCTCTTATTACCAATCATGTGAAAGAATATGTTTTACTAATATGTGATGATACAAATGTTGCCAGGAAACCGCCTACCAATTGATATATTATCATATTGATCCGACCTGGATAGATATCGCGAATGCACTTCAACATTGAACATAATTCTGCTTTTTTGCGAATTGAGGTTGAAGTATTGCCATGTAAACCTCTGAAGGCAATATTTAAACAATATTGAATGCATATTTTGCACCCGAATTCCTTGAAACGCAATATTACAACTACTGGTCTATATCTTTAAATTTAAGGTGGATGTAAATCGTGAATTGGCTCTATATACCATTCCGAACATTAAGTGTTGAAAGATTTTTAGAAGCCTGTTTTATGTCTATTTTTATGGAAGAAAGGATGAAGAAATTCAAAAAATTATTTGGGAGAATTGACTGTTAGAGGGTGTCGCACAGTGACGTCTTCGTAGAAAACCATGAATATCTTTGTGGTTTGATTTTTTTTCAGGCTTTTTTGCTTGTGAGAGGGTTAGTACAGTAGAAGGAATGTAATAAATACCAATTAAAAAAAAAATTACGCAGTTTTTTCATCAGCCTTTCAACAATATTACCGGGTCACTTTAAAGGCAATAGTTCATTTTCGTAATGTAAACTTATTTACACTTACGAATTATATCATTCACCTGTTACGAATAATTGTATTTCCCTAGTCAGAATGCAAACTGCTTAAATTACGTGCCGTTAGGTGGGACAAGCCATAATGTTTGTCCTACCTAGTAACAACGAATGTATGTAATTTGAATTATGACTATTGAGATTCATTTGTTAGGAACAGGTGAATGATATACTTCATATCGAGGCGCTTCACGAAGGCATATACATGTACATGTACATGTGGTTACATTACGAAAGTTGTTTGCCCCTTTAAATAGACCGGCTATTAACAAATTCAAATTTTATGCATACTTTTTGGTACATAGTCTCTTCTTGACAACCCAAAAGCGTGCCCGAGATTTACCCGACATAGCAACAAGTAATGTATACAGACTGGATTTTAAGTATTGTATTACATTAATTAATAACAGACTAATGGAATAACTCATTAATTTCCCAGGAGAGAATCATCGATAAATTTGAATATATTAGTAAGCCGGTCTATACACATGAGTAATGTTAAAGGTAATACAACGTTTGGGGAAATTTTGAAAATTGGGTGGATAGTGATTCTTTACAATTTTGATATATTTGGATGCCCCTGTGGATGTATTATAAGCACTAGAAAATTTAGCCCCGAAACTACTTCTGCTTTCGAGAAAAATTGAAGATAAAAATTTACTGGTGCTCCCGGTAAATTTTGATAAATTTCAAATAGCGCCTACGGCCGTACAATAGTAGCTGCGACCATGAAAATCTCAGAATATGTATTTGTGATATATAATTTCCGAACGGGAACAAATAATCGGTAGATTTTAGTCAAGAAACATTGTTTATAGCTCAATTCATATTTTGACCTTGAGAGGGAGCTTTACAACATAAAGAGTTTATTATTTACAATTTTATAACTTTAGACTCGATTTCAACCTCGACAACGATCACTGAATATTGTAGGACCGCATATGCGTCCAATATGTTCATTTGAACCAAATTCATGACCCCATACCAAAA